CTTTACTCACAAAGCAAAGGCCACCCACACAAACCAACACCATCATCGGATAGGGGAAACTTCTACCTACAAGATGTTGGTGTTGGTTTGTGTGAGCGGCCTTCGATTTGTGAGGCTTTGGAACGGTTTGTTTACAAATGCTGATGGGCCCTATTCTATTGTTGATCCAGAAATGTTTCCTGACGTCTTCGTCGAATTAGATGCTAGATTGTTGCTTCTTCCATCGAAAATATCCGGCCGTGGCGATTCAAAGTTGATCAAGGTTGATCAAAATAATTTGTACTCCTGCTTCCAGTTTGATTACATGAGCATTTTGTGTGGTCGGTGGTTCTGAACAGGCAGATGAATTATATTCCTACTCTTTTCTGTAATAAGCTTGGTGGCCCTGAAAAGAGCCGTTTTGTTTCCAAAGTTGGTGATGATTTAACCTCCGAAACCAAACAGAATGCGTCTCTGTCACTTCAAAAACGTAGATGACATCCATGGCCGCTTACGCTTGGCGTGTTTAGTGTAGGTGACAGCATCACGGATCTCATTTTTCAGGAACACCTTCAGCACACCTCGTAAATCAAACCGGAGATACGTCAGACACCGCCACGGCGAGCCAGACAACGGATGGTGGTTATCTCGAAGAATTTGCGTTTGGTTCTGAACATGGCGATGAGTGTGTAAAATATTACGCAATTCCATCCTCCCTATTCGCACGCGCCCGATGATCGGAGGCGAATGCCACTTCGACTTGTTTCGTCTACTTACTACTCTCTGACGACTGTGCTGGGGAAGCAGCATATGCATGTAGGTAATTGGTGGATTTGTTAGTTAATTCGACGCTTTTGGACAATGCTGAACATTTGCCAGTTTTTCAATAGTTTCTTGTTGAAAATAAACATTTGGAAGCATTTTTATCAATACGTAGCCATATTTCTGATCGATTGGTGATAAAATTATTGAAATTGGACCAGGGGCAGCTGAGTTATTAACGTTCAAAATCTTTCTTAATTTGTTACATGTTCCATTTTCGGTTTTCACAAAGTGTACCCCCATATAGAAATCAAAGACGTAGTCCTACGTCAAAAAATAGTTAGGGAATTTTTCAATGACAATGATATTAGTAGACCTATGCCCGGAACAAATGATTTTGTTTCCGAGTTTAGAAATGGACGAAAAGAACACGTTCAAAAAACGGCTGTTAATGATGTCCCTCAAAGAAGCGTACATGATTTTTGTTGATAAATATAAAGATATTAATATTGGTTTCGCTGAATTTACACAATTGCGACCAAAACATTGCATTTTGCTTGATTCTACTGGTATACACAATGTATGTATTTGTACAATTCATGAAAATGTAAAATTAATGATTAATAGTTTTAGAATTATGTCACAAGATGCAATTATAGAAAAAATGCTTTGTAATATTTCTACTAGAACAACTGATTGCTTTTTCCGTGCTTGTGAAAAGTGTGCTTCCAATGAACATATTGAAGAGGAACTTACTTTGCTATTAGAATCACATGAAACACATGTTGTGTTTCAAAAGTGGCTGAATACTGATCGTTGTAATTTGGAAACGATTATCAAGCCTGTTGATGAATTTGTTCCGTATCTCATTGATAAAATTAACAAACTTATAACTCATGACTTTATTTACAAACAACAGTCATCTTTTCTAAGAAATAAAAAAGAATCATTGAAAGAAGGCAAAATTCTAGCAATTTGTGATTTTTCTTCAAATTATTCATTCATTATCCAAAACGCTGCTCAAGGATATCACTGGAATAATTCTCAAGCAACAATACATCCATTTGAAGTTTATTATAAGAAAGACAATAAACTTGAAAATGTTAGCTTCATTATCATATCAGAAGTAATGACTCACGATACAGTTGCAGTTCAGTTGTTCATCTCAAAAATGATAGATTTCATTAAACAATCGATTGATTTTTCTAAAATTACTTTTATGTCAAATGGGGGAGCATCACAATAAAAAAATAAAAAAAAAAACTTTGCTAGTCTGTGTAGATTTCAGTCAAAGCATGGATTAGAAGCAGAATTGCATTTTTTTTTTGCAACGTCTCATGGAAAAGGTCTCTGTGATGCCATTGGTGGCACTCTCAAGCGAATGGCAAAGAGAGCTAGTCTTGCTCGAGATTATGGAAACACCATAACAACTCCACGAGAATGATATAACTGGGCAGTTGAACAAACAGATAAAAATATCACAAAACTACGTTTCGATTACATATCCACTGAACAGTACATCGAAATGTCAGAAGAACTCGAAGAACTATATAACAGCACGAAGACAATATCTGGCACACAGAAATTCCACAGTTTTGTGCCTATAACTGGTGACAAAGTAGCGGCAAAAAGGAATACTAATTCAGAAGATGAACCAAAAATATTTAACTTGATTGGAAAAAGGAAAAAATAGCATGCATGAAAATAGGTTTAAAACATTGAAAATATATAAATAAATGATATATGAAAAATCTTGTCTTTTTTCTCTCACATATTATCAAATTTTACATCAGTAGTAGACAATAGAATAAGGGAATGATATTTTTTTTTGACAAAGTCTACATGTCAAAATAGTTTTATTGAACTCTGAGAGGGTGCTGCCAACTCCAAATACGATTTGGCGAGAAATGCATCATGAGCCCTTTTCATATGAAATTCCCGATTAATCAAAGTGAACTCAAGTGCTGATTAGACAAAATTGAGCTTCAATGGATTCTGAGATGATTTTGAGCTTCACTGGTTTAGTCTTTTGTGAAAATGACATATAAAAAAAAAATCAGTTCAGACATGAAAAAGTTTTTGGAAGACAAACTTTTTTTTCCTTAAAAGTGCCCATCTCGCGATGTATGGTAGTAAACATAATTACCTATCTTGAGGCAAAGTTCCAAATCAAACATGGCCATTTTTTTAAATCGTCTTTAAATTTTAAAAATTGATTTTTTTCAGTGTAGGTCTCAAATGATAACTTGGACAATTTCCTAAAAGTCATCCGTACAACACATTTTTGTAGAAGTTTTCATTTTTCCATAATATTTTTTTGAAAAAAATCGGCAGAAAAAGTTTGGCCCTTCTCAAAAGTTAGTCTAGATAAATTTTGGAAAAACTAAGTATGCAAAGTGGCATATTTAGTCAAGCTCTACACATCAAGAAAGTTTCATTGAAATCTGAGAGGGTGCTGCCAGCTCCGAATACGATTTGGCGCGAAATGCGTCATTCAAAAATAATTGAATTTTCTGAAAAAAAAATGCTGCGAAACTGATCCGTAAGTTGTGCCAGGAAGCAGCTCAGTCCATTTATAGATGTTCAATGTGTTACACCTCTGGTTTTTTTTTTCCTCTGTTCGGGACATAACACCACTGCGACCAGTAATTTGATCTATTGTAGTATATCCCGTGCCCTTAGTTTAGTGCATGTCGTATGACTCCATCACAATTGAGAAATGATGAAGTATTCGGTTATGATACAGTTGACATTCTTGCCTTCATAGCAAGGAATTGCTTCTAATTGAAAGGTACCGCTATTTATACGCTTCGAACACCCTCCAAAGGCGCGCCCCTTTGACAGTCAAAATTAGATTCCTAAGCAACAAAAACAAACTATGACACCGGTAATGACCATGCACCAGAATCCTTATCTTAACCACTTCAAACTAGACGACAATGAACAGAAGATTAGGAATCACATAGGTGAAGAGTAATAGTGAATTTATTTATTACTCAGTTCCAACCTGGATTGGGTATCAAGATTTGGTCTGCAGGCAACCCGAGGACTTATCACTATCAACAAGGCATAAAAAGTAACAAGGACTAATATGTGTTCTTTTGATTACTCAAAAATCCTGTTCCCCTAGTTTGAAGTAGTCTAGACTAGGAATCGATGGTAGATCTTACATCCCGTACGTACCACGAAAAGGTGATCTATCCACGCTACGGGTTACTTCCCGGAATGCAAATAGCACCTGGAGATGGTAACATGTTATTTAGAGTTTATAAAATTAAATTTTTTCAATAATTTTGTTGTGATAAAATAAATCGTTTTTATTATGCTGCAAAAAAGGTGGTGCGTACATTTATTGCGAAAACCGTAACTGAGTAAGTGCAACTCAGATTTTGACAAATGCATACATTACTCAAAAGTGAGTAAACATGGGGTTACTCACTTTAGGGTAGTTCCACTTTTAACGAAAGTGAGTGGATTTTTACTCACTTTAGAACAAATTTGAACGAGTGTGTAGGGTGGAAAAGGGGACAAATGCACCCCGATTTGGTTTTTTATAGTTATTCCACTCTAAATTCTAGGTTTGTGTGTGCCGAAATTTAGTTGCTGTGGCTGATCAAATTTATGAAATAAATTCGGGAATGCTATGAAAAATCTCATCGGGCGTTCTGTCCCGGGGTGCATTTTGGGCTGCTTTCCCCTACTACTGATAGTAGGGATCGCAAAAAAAAATCACTGACCATCCACCTTCATCTTCATCCTTCCACCCCATCAACAGTAATACCCGCGCCCATATCTTCAAGATCACGATCTTAATTAAAATCACATCGATGTCAACACGATTACTTCTCACCTTTTACAAATCCGTTCTCTCCGTCGCGAATCACACGAAATTCAAGCCACCCAGCGGAGAGCATTTTCGAACATCACACTCTTCCGAGTCTCCCGCATGACGCATGTAACCTTCCTTATTCTCTCTGTTTGTACTGATAAACAGAAATTCGAACTTAAATCTCTCACACCCGCCCGTCACCCATCACCAATCACCCCCCTCGCGATGATGCGGAACAACCGACCGGCCCCAAGAGGTGAGGAGGAAAACCTCTGAAAAAAGTGCATTTTCGAAATTTCCTCTCCCACTGCTCTTTTGGGTTCGTCGGCATCGTCGTCGTCGGTCGGATCTAGAGAGCTGGCAACATGTGCGACTTGCTCAGTCTGTGTAGTCGCGCGTTCGTTAGTCGGTCGCCAACTTCCGAGTCAGATAGACGCGTTCGTCGATATCCCAGTAGTAACCCGCGTAGCGTTGAAAAAAAAAATCGCGTTCGCGAGGATCTTAAGTGGATTCGCTAATTAATATTACCGTGTCTGTGGTGTATGTCGGTGGGGGCATTCGGCTACTTATAACAGGAGTTTTCTTCATCCGCGCACTGTCTGCTCTTTTAGTTGCTGTGTTCTTGCATTAGAAGCAACATCAACAACAACGACAATAATTGCCGCCGAGTTATTCGAGTTTTATTTTATTTTCTGGGGCATCAAGCAGAAAGTAGAAGAAGAAAATTGAAAATTACATATGTGCTACTGCGATCGAGGAGCGAGTTTCCCGAAGGAATCGAAAGAAGTGCGTCCGAGTTAACCGGGGATGGTGGGAAAATTAACCGATATTTCGACTATCTGGTTGTTCTCGATTTTTTTTTTTTTGTTTTCTTTAATCGACTGACGAGAGTTGTAGGTGGGTCGTGAACTACTGCGGGCTACAACTGTGATAGTGGTGGAAAAACGGAGCTCCAGAATTGAAACAGTTCTCATGTTTTGACGGCGGTGCAACAACTCACAACAACGACAACAATCGATGGAACTAGTGATTTTAATTCCCGCCGAAGCAGAAATGAATTAGCAGGAATTAGATTTTTGAAGTGGTTTTAATTTTAGCATTTAGCGCATAAATTAAGCGCCAGGCACCGCCACTCACCGAAGAAAGGTTAAGCTTGAGGCAGTTCGCCAAGGGGTCGCAGGGAAGGAGAATAAATTGTGCACATGATTTGAGTGCGGCGTGTTTATTTATTTTTTGTTGTGCTTGGTGTTTCCTTTCTTGGTTGGGTGACCGAAAAAAAAAGTGGATAAGCGTCTGTTGATCCGTGATCTGTACGTGTGATTGGTGGATTACTGTTGTTCGAGATTTTCGGTTTTCTTTTTTCGGTTAAGTGACTCAGTCTAATCGAGCGGGATTCTTGAGTGCTTCGACGAAATAATTTATTGGGATATTACAGTGGCAATCCGTACCACTAGGATACGCAACGCTCTTGGTTTGATGTAAGTATTTTTACTACGATTTGATTTGTTTATTGTGCAATTTCTAGCGATCTTTGAAATGTACCCTTATTTTCAACAGTCGATAATTTAGTTTTTGAATACCTACGATCATCAACTTATCAGCCTTGATTTCAATTTCAGCACATTTTTAGCAATAGAATTTACTCTATAATTAATTAACAAAACCGTTTTTGTTTAACTAAATCGATGCCATTATATTAATTAAAATTTGAAATAGGGATGACTGTCAGCAACAGCTTTCCTAATATTGGGCCCATGCCTAAATTATGAAATCAATTGATCATTAGCCACCACTAGTAGCAATTTTTACTGTCCAGTCCAGTCCAGCTAAGTAAAATTGAAGATTTTGATAGTTTCCGATGGGCCCAATCTTTTGATCCATAAGCCAACAACATTAGAACGATTTCCTAAAATGATGTAGTGATTTTTATTTTATTATCGGATAAAATGGACCGATTGGTCTCAGAATGATTATATGAACGAAAACAAGATTTCAAAAATTTCAGAGTGGATAATTTTTTTCCGGAAAATTTTAGTTGGAGCTTTCGGATTTTCCCGGACATCACGAACTTTGAAAATTCATAGCTCATGAACTTTTTACTTTTATAAGTGCCCGCAATTTTACTGAAGTTAATTGAATTGCCTTTAATTTTCAATAATTTTCCTCATGTTTTGCAAATTTCATAAACGCTCACGGAACTTGGCCTTAAATCACAAAATTTCCCTGAACTTCTCTGGACATTCTCTGAGGTATATATAATTCATAATTCCCTGACGATTGTGAAGTTTTCGGATCATTGATAGAATTCTAGGAATTTTCCATTATTCTAAGTAACTTTTTGTAGGTCTCTGCACATTTCTTTAATTTAATGGGATTGCTCTGAAGCTATCTGATCGTCTTTGATGTACCGTAAAACGGGGTATCTTTGATAATGCGGGTAACTTTGATAGTATAATATAAAGAATAAATTTACTAGCTGTGCTTTTTCCAAATAAGAAACATTGGTTCCATATTGTAGCTTAGGGTTTTTCCGTTGATATCGTGTATAGTTTTTATATAGTTTGTGTTACATATTTTACAAAAATATTAAAAAAAAACCATTTTCGTGTTTCTCGCCTTTTTGAAAAAGCACTCAAACCATCACTTATGAAATGTATTTCCGATACAGCCATCACAAATTCAATGTTGTATTCTTATTGCTTATGAAGTTTTCTAATTATATACTCATTCAAAGTTTCATATTTAAAGAACTAAATTGTTTGACTTTCACTAATTTTTTTTCTACATTCATCGAGCATTATCAAAGTAACCCCAAATCAGAATACTGAAGTTCGGTCACAAAACTAAAAAAAAAAGTGCAAATGCTTTAATTTTTGTTCAACATATTGAGCATGAGCATGAGCATGATTGACCGCCCACGGTTGCTACTCTGTTATTTCCAGACCAGCTGTAATTACACAGATAACCAATAGACGATGCTTGGGACTAGCAATCATCCTCAATGTGTAAAAACTGGTGATCTCGAATTAGGCAATACCAGCGCCAGCCGCGCCTGAACGCAGGTCACGAAAGGAATGGGTAGGAATGTGTTGACGTGACACTCGCTTTGATGGAAGCCGAGGAGTCCTCTGCACTTCCACGAGGAATCACAGGGATGTTGGGTAAGAGGGTTGGGTTAGCAGCAGGGTTCGTTTTGGTAAACGATAAGCTGAATTGATGTCCTAACGATCGTATAACGCAAAGGAGCTTGGGATTGAACTCACGGTCTTCTGCTCAGTAAGCAAAAACGTTTGCCACTAGGCAGACGAGCTCCTTTTTAATCATTGACGAATCTTGAATGTGGATGGGCTTGAGATTAGACTCATGATGTTCTGCTCAGTAAGCAAAACCGTTTGCTCTAAGGCCACCGAGCCTCTTATATCACATTATAGCGTTACTCAAGTTTTTATAACTATTCAAACCCGGCACCGACGACAACGAAAAGTTTTACAAAATACACGATAGACAAGCGATCTTACTTTAATTTTCGTTCAACATGTTACTAACGAATTAACTCTTGGATCCTCAGTACTTGTTTTAAAAATATAAAATTTTAAAAAAATCATTGCTGTAAAAATTATTTAGAATATACTTTAAAAAACTATCAATGTTACCCCGTTTTACGGTTCTTGGGACTTTGCTGAATATTATGAAATGATCTAAAGATTTCTAAATTACTATCCAGATCTTTGGAACTTTTTGAATATATCGATTTTTTTTTCAATTTTGGAACTGCCTTGAAGTTCTTTAATCAACTTCGATAAATTTGCACCAATTTTTGAAGTTTCCATATTAATCATATAAAATTCTTTAGATACTCTTATATTTTTCCGATATTAATATAACTTTCCTTACGTTCTAGAAATTTTCTCGGAACATTGCTAAAGATTCCTGAATTTCTCAGAATTTATCAAAACTTCTGTAAGCTTTCTAAAATTTCCATGAAATTATTTGAACTGCCCTTTGGTTCTCTGATCTGTTCAAGCTCACAATTCTACAATATTTTGGTTCTGCTCTGAAATAAGCGGATCTCAGTGTCTGTTTTTATGATTTACCATCAAACGGAAGGCGTAGCGCTTCAACACAGTGTAGATGAATTGCATTTGTTTTTGAAAATCTTCACTGTCTCGTACGCGCGAAATGAACAAATAAGTTCATTATAAATAAACGAATATGCGTTTGTTGATACTCACCAGTGTTTGATTATCCATCACAAAATTGTCAAAATCAGAAGCGATCCTCAAAAGGAAAATAATAAATTTCATTTTGGGCAATATTAAAGCCCGATTCAAAGTAAATTTGGACGCATTCAAGTGATCATAATTCAAGAATTAAACAACATACACGGTTGATCAAAACGTCAAACAAAAGGGTATTTATTCAGCTTTCAAACCATATATAACAAGTTATTACATTTTACCGTTTCGAACGAACTGTCGCACTTTACTTGTGATTCGATGCCATCATGATCTGCACAGTCGCTGGTGACACTGTACCGGCGAACTTATTCCACTTTAAACGCATTTGTTGTGCATTTGTCCGCATCCTCGAAGTTTTCGCTCGACAATTGCCCAATATTTTTCGATCGGTCTGAACTCAGGGCAATTCGGAGGATTAATCTCTTTGGCGACGAAATTAACATTGTTTGCAGCATACCATTCTAGTACCTCCTTAGAGTAGTGGCAGCTGTCTAGATCATAACGTTGGTCTTGTGTTGCCGAATGAAGGGTAAAATCCGCTTTTACAGACACTCTTTAATGTAAACCTTCGACGTCATTGTGTGAGATGTGATGAAAACCTTGGTATTAAGGCCACAACTGCAGATTCCTTGCCAAACAATTAGTTTCCGAGCAAACTTATCAGCAAAAACAAATTAATATCTGGAATGGACATCATCATGACCAGTTGCCAGGAAAAATTTTCGTCCGGGGATTTGTTTATAACCCACTTTGACATATGTTTCGTCATCCATTAAAATACAGCGATCAAATTTCGTCAAAACTCGTTCGTACAGTAATCGTGCTCGCTTTTTGGCCACTAAATTTTGTTTCATGGAGCGATTCCGATGTTTACTGGCACAAAAAGACTTATATCCTTCTCTTGAAAGGATGTTACGCTCGGTGGAAAAGTTGAAATCGTATTTCTTTGCCAAATCATGTATGGAGACACCTGGGTTGCTTTTCACGTACTTCAACACCTTTCTCCTCAGCTCTTTGTCCCTAGTGCCACTTTTATGATAGATGCACTGTGCTCTATCCAAACTCAGAGTATATTTGTAACGTTTGATTACAAGACTCACCGTTGACTGGGAATTTTAACACTTTTGCTATTTTTGAGGCAGACCACGAAGGGTTCTCTACACGGATAGAAATCTCCTTATACCTTTTGGCAAATTTCTATTGCTGATTATTCATACAATAAGTCAACTAATAAGTAGACGCCTTGCAAAAAGTTAATGAAGATCATGTGTCAAATGAAATGTATAAGCGGTCACACATACCTTTTATGCATTCTTATAGGACCTATGTGGTTTGTCTTATGGAATGTATAAGGCTGATGTTTTGGCAAAAATGTATAAGTGAAACACATGAATAAAATAATTGATTTTCGTTTCGTGTAGATGTTTGTGCACAATTAATTTTCTTTTCTCCGTTCCAAGTTCCATGATCCGTTATTTCGGGATGCGTCGATCAATCGAGAAAAACTTTTCTCCAATTTCTTCGTCAATGAAACATCAAAAAATGCCTGTCAAACGTTTTTTGTTCCAACCACCAGGGGTGCGGTGGTGTATTGAACCGTGCGTCCAGATTTACTTTGAATCGAGCTTTAATAGTTTGAATATTGTCGACCCCAGAGTCTAAAACCTCAATATTATCATAGATTTAGCATGAGGCAATAATCGATCTGTGTTTAGAAACAAACACGACACGTTCTTCGGCGCTATATTTGTGTAAAATTAAAATAACCATTTTGCATTTGATTCTCAAAATCATCCCCACCAAGATGAAGACGAATATTAAAATTGACAACATCACAGGCGATACCCAGACAACCAGAAGTCGTATAACAATGTACAGACAGTATCGTAAATTGCTACAGTTAAAGTCAAAATCGCATATAAGAATGGCATATCACGCATTATGTGTAAGCTAAATCACATAGAATGCGAATTTCTGACTTATATGCGATGACTCATTTTTTCCGTCGTACTGTATCATACATTAAATCGGATTACATCGTAAGACTTTTCAAAAAGGATTTGTTGTTATAGATTAAATCGCATATGATGTTAAATCAACTCGTTTAAAATTAAATTAAAATATGCACGTATATGGCCTCCACTTTTGTACGTATAAGCCATTTTTTTGCATTCTATATGAATTGTTTGTTTGTATATATGTTTGTATATCATGAAAATAACTTTGAATATACATGCATT